AGATTGAGTCTAGCACAACTAGATGGTGCCCGGCTACCACCACTGACTGCTCTGACAGGGATCACAATAGAGGGTCCCAGACAGAGCTGGAGAGAAATGTAGAACAAAAATCTAACTCACAAAAAAAGACCAGACTTACTGGCCTGACACAGACTGGAGAAACCCTGGGAGTATGGCCCCTAGACACCCTTTTAGCTCACTAATGAAGTCACTCCTGAGTTTCACCCTTCAGCCAAAGATTAGACAGGCCTATAACGGGGCACACCAGCCCAGGGGCAAAGACTAGAAGGCAGGAGGGGACAGGAAAGCTGGTAATGGGGAACCCAAGGTCAAGAAGGGAGAGTGTTGACATGTTGTGGGGTTGGTAACCAATGTCACAAAACAATATGTGTACTAATTGTCTAATGAGAAGCTAGTTTGTTCTGTAAACCATCACCTAAAGTACAATAGGAAACCCTGGTGGCATAGTGGTTAAGAGCTACAGCTGCTAAACAAAGGGCTGGCAGTTCAAATCCACCAGGTGCTCCATGGAAACCCTATGGGGCAGTTCTACTCTGTCCTATAGCGTCACTATGAGTCGGAATCGAATTGACTCAATGGCAACGGGTTTTTTGTTTTTAAAGTAAAATAATTTAAAAAAGAAAGAATGTCAAAAAACCCAACCATGATGAGATCCAGGTCAGTATTTCTAAAAATATGGTCCCTGGCAGCAGTATCAGCATGACTTGGGAACTTGTGAGAAATGTAGGTTCTCAGGCTCCACTCCTAGACCTACTGATTCAGAAACTCTGGGGTTAGGCCCAGAAACAAGCCTTCTGGGTGATTCTGAAGGACTCAAAGTTTAGGAACTGCTGGCCTAGGGTAAGATCATACCAGGCAGGGAATTGCCAGATTTGTTCTTGCCTTAGGACATTTGCAGTTGCTGTTTCTTCAGATCTGAGGGAAATGCTACTTCCTCAAGGAGAATATTTTCTTGTGTATATGCTTATCTGATTCCCCCACACAGGACTGTAAGCTCCACAAGAACAAAGATTTTGTCTTCTTAATTACCAATGAATTCTCAATGCATAGAACAGTTGTATGCCATATTTGTGGACCAACTGAATTAACATTTGTATTTTTATTTACTTCATTCATTCTTCTTCGAGTTACCCAATTCAAAACATCTCTTTTTTTCTTACTTGTTAACATGTACCCTGCCAACAATCCCAGGTGATTTGACCTTTAATGTCTCTCACATCCACCCCTTCTTTTCTATACCAATCTATCAGTAACAATCTCCTATTACCTCCCTCATGTCTCATCTGGTGAACTACCTCTTATGTAGTATCCTATTCTCCACCTCAGAATTAATTCAGAGTGATAATGCTATCAAGAAAATAAAACTGTGATATGATAAAGAGTCATAAGTTACTTTAGACAGGGCAGTCAGAGAAGGCCTTTCTGAGGAGGTAACATCTAGGAGGGATGCACAGGGTGGTGCAAATGGTTAACGCACTCAGCTGCTAACTGAAAAGTTGGTGGTTTGAGTTCACCCAGAGGCACCCAGAAAGCAAGCCCTGGTGATCTACCACCAAAAGAAAAATCAGCAATTGAAAACACTATGGAGCACAGTTCTACTCTGGCACATGGCAGCTAGTCTAACATGTAGAATACCTGAATGTCTAGGAGAAGCAGCAAAACAAAGACCTGGAAAGAGAATTCCAGATAAAGAAAATAGCCAGTTCAAAAGCCCCAAAACAGAAATAATCTTAGCATGTTTCAGGAACAGAAATAAAGTCAGTGTGGATGAAGTACAGGGTGCTTGGAGTGGAATGAGATGAGGTTGGAGAATTAGCTGAGGCTCAGATCACATAGGGCCTTGGAGGCTATGATAAGAACTCTGAATTTTCCTCTGAGTAACACTGGAAGGTTTTCAGTGATATTACCTGATTTATGTTTTGGAAAGTTAATTCTGGCTACTGTGTGCTTAATAAATTCTAGAAAGGCCAAAGTGGAAAGGCAAAGATAGCATTTAGGAGGCAACTGCAATAGTCCATGTGGAAAATTATGGCTATGGATATCTAGCCAACAGGATTTGCTGAGGAAAAGGCTATGGGAGGGAAAGAAATGAATCATGAATGGCTCCAACCTTTTGGGCCTGAGCAACTAAGTAAACTGTGGTATTATTTATTGAGGTGGGGAAGATTAAAGGAGAATCAGGTTGGAGGAGGAGTGTAGGGTGTTTATCATGTTTTGGACATATAAGTTTGAGATACCTGTTAGATATCCAGTTGGAGATTATATGACTCTAGAGATATAAATTTGAAAGTCATCTGATATATACAGCAACTTCACCTAGGGTGAGTGGAGAAATAAGAAAAATAGATAAAATTCCAAGCTCCTGGGAACTTCGACATTTAGAGGCCAAGCAGAGGTAGCCAGTGTATTAGTCTCCCTTCTAGATCACAAGTTCTTTGAAACACAGGACAGTGTCTTTTTTATTTATGTGACACTCTGCAGAATTTAGGAACCCTGGTGGCACAGTGGTTAAGTGTTCAGCTGCTAACCTAAAGGTTACAGGTTTGAACCCACCAGCTACTCCGCAGGAGAAAGATGTGGCAATCTGCTTCCATAAAGATTACAGCCTTGGAAACCCTATGGGCAGTTCTACTGTATCCTATAGGGTCACCATGAGTCAGAATCAACTCAAGGGCAATGGGGTTTTGTTTTGGTTTTTTTTTCTTCTTTTTTTGCTATAAAACTTAAAGAGAGTAGCAGCAAGTTAGAGATGCTCAGTACATTTTAATGAGTGAGTGATTGCCATTTGATTTCTCAAGCTTACTCTGCAGAAATATAACACCCTGAGGACAAAGGCAACAGTGCTTAGCACACAGTAGGCACCCAAATATTTGTTTAATGAAAGAAAAAACTTAGACTGTGTTTTGTTAGACACATTTTAGTACTCTTTGTTCCAGAGTGCATAACAAAGAAAAGGAGAAAGCAAGCAGGGGCCCATCTCCCCATACTTCTAACCTACTATAATTACAAGTACCCTAAATCCCTCACCTTGGTCCCTACTATAGAGCAGAGGAGGAAGAGAGGGAATGGCACCAGAGGCTGTGGCAGGGAAAGGGGCTTCCATTTCTTGCACTAAAGCAGAGTTCTGGCTTGCATTCATCTTTCATGTCATAAATATATTTTAAGCACCAACTATATGCCAGGGACTGGAGTACTAGGACAAGAGATATAACAATAAGAAAAACAGGGTTCCTCAAAGAATTTTCATTCTAGAGAAGATACCGATCCAACAAATAATTACATAAACAGCATACAGAATCCAAGTATAAGAAGTGACTTGAAAGTAAAAAGTACTATGAAAACATATACCATTGTAACCAAACAAACTGGGAGGGAGGGGCTGGAAGGTTTCTAACATGAGATTCGTGAAAAAAAAGTCAGGTTAGAATGCAGGGGTAGGGTGAAAGTTACCTAGGTAGAGAGAATGATATTTATGAAGGCTTTAAGGTAGGAAGGACTTTAGCATGATCCAAGGAATTTAAAACAGGCCAATATATGCAGGGCCATACTGGATGCATTATGTTTTTTAATAGTTGACCCTAAAATCTAAGGGTAGCTATGGAAAGGTTTTAGGCAACAGAGTAAGATGGCCAGAGTAGTAGATTTGTGTTTTTAAAAATCACTCTGGATGCTATGAGGAGAATGAATTGAAAAAGGAGGAAAGAAAAGATTCGAAATGACTAGTTAGGAGGCTACTGAAATTATCCAAGTGAAAAATAACAGTAGCTTGGATCACAGTAGAGGTGTGTATAAAGGGAAAGAAGTAGACAGTTCTAAGATATTTCAGAAATACAAAGTAGCACGGCTTGGTGACTAAGCACACACAACTCCCAGGTTTCTGGCCTGAGCGACTAGGTGAACAGAGGTGTGACTTACTGAGATGGGCTTCACTAGAGAAGAAGAGGTTGGGGAGGAGAGGAAAGCACGTGCTCATCATTGAATGTACATGGTATACCTAAGAGTCAAAGAGGCAGCTGGATATGTGACTTGTTGGTCAGAAGAGGTTTGGGCTGAAGACATAAATATGGGCATCTTCATACAGAGATATATTTAAAGCCAACAGGCATGGATGTCATGTCCTCAGGAGAAATTACAGAATGGACAAGTCATATCAATCCCAAACCCTGAGGAAACAACAACATGTAAAGATCAGACAGAGGAGGAATAAGAACTAGTAAAAAAAAACACAGAAAAACAGTGGCCAGAAAGGTAGGAGGAAAATCAGAAGAGTGGAAGTGAAAGGAAGCATGTTTCAAGAAGGAAATAGTCAACAGTGACAAAGAACACTGAAATAAGGGTATTAATAATGGTTAGGTTTCTGGGCCAGCTCACAAAAGCTCATTTAACCTATAATATAGATAGATTATAGCACTGAACTGTAATACCATGAAGCAGTGTAATACAGGGGTTAAACATGCAGGCTCTGGACCCACACTGCCCCAAGTTTAAATCTCAGCTCCGCTACTTATCAGTTATGTGACTATGGCTAGTTACTTAACATGTCCATGCCTCAGTTTCCTGTTCAACAAAAAGAAGGTACAAATAGTACCTGTCTCAAAGGATTGTTGTCAGGATTAAATATATGTGTATAAGTGAATATATATATACACATATACATATTACTTAAAATAGCACAGATTAGTTGCTCAGCAATTGATAAAATGATAGCTACTATTACTTACAACATTGTTTCTATGTAAAAATACTTTCTGAACTCTAACAACAGAAGTTTGATATGAAAATAATCTTTCACTATAGGGTTGCTATGAGTCGTAATCGACTTGACAGCAATGGGAATTTGGGATTGTCCCTACTCCTCATAAATTATGATTTTACAAAGTTTTTTCCCAAAAGCCTTGAGGGAAACTCTAGATTTAAAACTTAATTCAAAATGTATTCAAACAAATGCCCTTCGTATAGAAGCTGACCATTTTTAGAGAAGCTAATCTTTTTTTTTTTTTTGGAGGGGTACCTATCACATTTACTACACATTCATACTATAAACAGAAAGGACTTAGGAAATTCTAAAAACTATCTTTAGTGGCAAAAAGTAAGACTGTGTTTCAAGTTAGAAAGGCAACAATCAAACATAAATCTATCTAAAAACAAAGTATTCCACTCTCTGGTGTGTATTCAAATACAAACACAACATCCATCTCCCAGATGAAATAGCCTGTCTCTTCCTGTTCTGCACGAGATACAAATATCAGGTAGAAAAAAGGGCAGTAAATTTGCAGTTTGTTTAATGCTTCCTGATCATTTTATTTCCGAAAGCTGCAAGGGTTATTTCAGTATCCAAAACAGCCCCACAAAAAGTATTTCCAACTGCATGGTAATAGGCAAAGGATATGTTCTTTTGGTACCTAAATCTCAGAAGAGCACAAGTAAACGTAGATTTATATTAGCAGTTTTTATATCTGAACTTTTCATGTACCTAGCAAGTACTATTTTAAAAATATTCAAAAAACTTTCTAAAATCCTATTTAAGGTACAATGCTGGGTTTTCCCATTGGCTCACTATTTTTCAACTGTTAAAACAAGAGACATACCTGATATCTGATGGAGGTGTTTTATCCCAAAAAGTATTGCTTCAAAACTCATGAAGAATTGTTTACCATGCTCTCTCCCCACCAAATAATGAAAATGTTGCATTTCAGGATCGAAGACATAAGGTAGGCTGTTAGATCCCAAGTCAGTAACAACTGAATGTCATTACCATCTGTCAGCTTCTGAATAGGTTATTAGAAACAAGGTGACAGACAGGCTAATTCTTTATGGATAAGTATCCATATTACATCATCATAACTAGTACTCATTTACACCTTCAGAAGAAACTGCCACAAAGGGGAACAAAAACATTGAACTGCTACATAAATTATGAAAAAGCTTTTATAAATGTTATAGAAATATGAAGAAGCTTCTAAAATGTAGAATATTTAACAATTTGCAGGGCATATTTCAGATTCTGTATTTTTTATATAACTGAAATCAAAGAGGACATTTGCAGTTTGAGGACTAAAATGAGGTACAATTAAGAAGTGTGTGCAGCCCTGTACAGATGGCCTGATCGTAACACAAGATGTTAACAAAGCAGGTTGATGGGGAGAGAAGGAGAAGCCTGCATTTCCTATGCTACAATTCAGCTGACCCCACCCCCAAAATAGATTTTTTTATAAAGGAGTTGGAGGGGGGTTAGCATTTAAGTATCAATTACTTCCAATAAACAAAATCAATCTTTTTTTAGATTATGTGTTCCAAATGAATCTACTTACTGTTTCCAAATGTGTTTGGGAAGTCATTCTGTGTTACTTTGATAAATAACATTTAGAAAAATATGACAAGTAGATTTTAGTTTCTTGCCTCAGAAGTATTCTGCTAAAAGAAATAACAGAAATAACTAGGTAGCATTTGTTTCATTTACCTATTAAAACATAAAAAGTATTGCACAGGTACCTATCACTGATGTTCACTGAAGAGTAATTTTAATTTGTAAATTATGGTATTCAATGCAAAAGCTCCTTGGAAAATGATAGTCAAATTAGCACCAAAAGGAAATAACAGAAGGGCCAAATATCCTTCATAAAACTCCTTAAGATGGCTTAGTTGTATATAATACCAAATTGTGGCTATTTCTGAAGGGTTTCAGCAATCAGTTATCTAGCTACAAAAATGGCCTATCACTTTTTTAAAAAAAAAAAAAACCCAGCTCTTTTAAACAAAGGGCCTAAAATCTTCTAAGAAAGCTACACATTTTCCTTTTTATTGAACGAAATTGTTCTCATTCTCTTTCAGAGTCATTTCAAGGTACAAACTAAGACAAAGACCAGCTACATATTTTCCGAATCATGAATACAGAACTTTCATAAAAGCAAACACGGTCACCTAAACACTCTAATATATAAATAAAAAAAGTTACTTCTGTCGTGAAAATGATGAAGAAATCGGATGAGATCATAAAGCCACAAAGCTTCCTGTTGGTAGATGAGGATGAAGTCATTAGCAACCCAGGATTCCCTGGTCCTTGTAATCAAAAGCTGCACCTACCAGATTCAGTATTGTTCGGGAGAGGTGGCTTTAAAACACCCCGCTCCCAAATCCTCCAAACCAGACCACGCCTTCCAGTTATCATTCAAATGGGACCGTTTCACAGTGTGGTACTACTGCTCATCTTTCGCGAGCTTAAATATCTAGTAAGAGTCAACATTTTAGATTCCCTTGGTCATGCTAGAGGAAAGATGAACTCTTGAACTCCGCACTACATAATGAACCCGGGCTTCAGAAACCGAGATGCAGAAGCATGCTTCGGTTCTTCAACCTTTATGGCATTCACTGACCCCTCCCCCCACATCTCCCCAACTCTTGGTCACCTCAAGACATAAAAGGCAAAGACAGGTTCCTTACTTCCTGCTGTTGTTAAAAGGGGGGAGGAAACCCAAGAGTAACTTTGAACGCGTGGAAGAGAAACCGCTTTCTCTTGGCCACCACAGCAAACATATGTCACCCAGCCCCGGCACAGCGTTTGCGCCCCGCCTGGCCCCCTCCCCGGCCCCACGCCCCAGGGGTTCTCCCGAAGCTCATCCCTCCCGGGTCCCCCACTGTCAGGGACACAGTTGGGCTCTACGGGGCTCGGATCCTCCCCTTCTCCCCGCCTCCCCCACTCTTACACCGCCGGGGGCCCCAAGACCACATTGTCGGCCACTCAGGTTTCAATACAATGGAATATCACTGCCCCGAACTCCTGGGCGCTCCCCTCGGCCCCCCGAAGCCAGTCCCGGTTCTCCCCGACCGCCGAGTTTAGCCACGAACCCAAACTTCACCATGTGAGATGCCAGGACCCCGGATGGTGACGGAGCCCCACAGCTCCCGCCCAGCTCTCCCTTCACCCGCGCTCCCTGACCAGCCCCAGGCGCGAATCCTGCACTGGGCGCCCCCATCCACCCCGGGACCACCCCATAGGAGTCATCAGCCGCCTCTCCCGGCGAGGGGCGAGGGGAGGGCTCCCCGCCCGGTCGGGACCCCTGGGCGGCGCTTCACCGGCGCGAAGGCCCCAAATGCATCCCCGGCCTTTCCTGGCCCACCGCGACCCCCCGCCCACCCTCCCTACCTGGCCTTGAGGCTGGGGCTACTGCCGCTGCTGCAGCTGCTGCTGCTGCTGCTGGCGGCGGCGGCGGCGGCTGCC